ATTTGCAGCTCCGTAGGTGTGTCCCATATTTTGCAGAAGTGCACCCTTATCTGCGCCAAAACCTCCGCAAAAGCGGAACTCCCCTAGACGCCTCCTCTTCGTATAAACGATCACTCCCTCGCATAAGAAAGTCCACACCTGTAGCTAAATCTTTTGCAGGTGCGAAGAACCAGCACCAGAACTGCCCATCATGATCAAAATACTCTGAAACTCATCCAAAACACATCAGAGCCCCTCGGGACCCCGTCCAAACATACCAACAAGTCTCAAAATATAACACAGACCTATTCTAGGCCTCAAATCACACATAATAACATCGAAACCACGAATCGTACCTCAAATCAAACTCAATGAACCTTTGAACTTTCAACCTTCAAAACTCGTGCCGAACCACATCAATTCAACTCAAAATGACCTCAAATTTTGTATACAAGTTCCAAATGACATAATAAACCTAGTACAACTATCGAAACAATAATTTGTACCCGATATCATCAAAGTTAACTCCCAGTCAAACTTATGAACATTCCAAACCTTTAAGTTGCCAATTTTCGCCAACTAGTGCCAAAATATTCTAGAAACATCCAAATGCAAATTTGGGCATAATACCAAGTTCAAAATCACCTTCCGGGCCTAAGGGAACCATCAAAACTCCGATCCGAGGTTAAATAAACAAAATCAAACTTGGTCAACTCTTCCAACTTAAAGCTTCCTATTTAAGAATCATTCCACCAAATCAATTGCGAACAACTCGAGACCAAAACCGACCATACACGCAAATCATAATACATCAAATGAAGGTAGTCAAAACTTCAAACAACCGAACGAAATGCCAATGCTCAAAACGACCGGTCGGGTCATTACAACTACTTTTTTGTGTTACATGTAGTTGCTTTTTTTTGGGTTTCTAATAGTGTTTGCTGGTTAAAAAAAACTTGAAGTAGATATTGGTGGTGATTTAAGGGTCTAATGATGGTTGGTGCTTGTGTTTTAGTTGTGTATAAGAATTGTATATACATTGTTATAAAGTACGTAAATATTATATATACACTAAACTGTTATATAGTGTATAACTGTTTATACATGTTATAAAGTATATAAATATTATATATACCATTATATAGTGTATAATATGTGTATGTGCACGGTTTATGTGTATATACAATGCTTATACATTGTATTATGGTGTTGGTGATTTAATGATGTTCATTGATAGACGTTGAGGTCAGAGCTTCAAGTGTTTTGTGGTGAATGGAGAGGCAGTTGGAGTGTAAATGTATATTCCGGTACATCTAGTGCATACTTTGTGAGCATACACTAAATAAACAATAAATATACATAGTATATACAATGATGGTGGGAGAAATAAAGTATATATAGTAAGTTTAAAATGTAATATTGAATAGTGATTTTTCTTTTTGGGTTATTGTGGAGTTTTTAATGGTGGTTGGATGAAGGTTTACTGGTAGATGTTTATAAACTGTGGTGTTTCACTAATTGTTGAAGATTGATGAATTTGTGAGCGGATGAGAAATAAAGGAGGCTATTGGTTTTGTGATGATGAAGAGAAAGGTAGAGATGGTGAGTCAAGGTGGTGGAGCTACGGTGAAAATGGATTGGAAAAAATAGTGGAGGATGAGAAATAAAGGAGGCTATTGGTTTTGTGATGATGAAGAGAAAGGTAGAGATGGTGAGTCAAGGTGGTGGAGCTACGGTGAAAATGGATTGGAAAAAATAGTGGAGGATGAGAAATAAAGGAGGCTATTGGTTTTGTGATGATGAAGAGAAAGGTAGAGATGGTGAGTCAAGGTGGTGGAGCTACGGTGAAAATGGATTGGAAAAAATAGTGGAGGACATAAAAGAGGTAGAACTGTGGTGTAGGAGATAAATGGGGAAAAGATTAAGAAAAATGATGAACAAGGGAAAATGTGGAGTTATGGTGAAGAAAAGGAACGAGTGCAATTTTTCAGGCTAGGCGGTTAAGGAGGGGCGCGCCGCAGATCTAATTTTATTTGTTAGGATATTTATTATATTTTGTTACAAGTTATATTGTGAAATTGCGAGCAGTGAGTAGTAATTTTGAGCAAACTTTATTTATGACCATCAGCTAGAAACTAATATCAGCTGCTAGCCACAAATTGCAGTATGTATTTTATAGCCCAAAATCAATTATAACGGCTAGCCACCTAATTATACATCTTACCAGAAGCACAATTCACACCCCAACAATTTCTTCACTCCCTCTTTCTTCAGATCAATTCATATTCAAGAAACGCCCTAATTTCTCTGCTCCACAGATTTCAGCGCTTGATAATAGTGCAAATTCTAGAGGCCATTTGATCAATTATTTTCTTTTTACTTCTACAAGCATAGTAAGGATTCTATTTCCATTAACTTAGTTTTTCTGGAGAATGGATTTGGGTTGTTTTGATATGGGTTGCATTGAAAAGAAGCCGATGAATCACGCTGTTTCTAGTTCGGAGAACAGTCCCTCCATTCTTGGCTAGCCACCGAATTATACATCTGACCCACAAGCACAATCACAGGTTCATTGGAGAAATGATTTTTGGCCCAAAATGATTTAGCCGGAAAACTTCACCGGTCGCAGTAGTGGCCGAAAAATTCAGAGTCGCCGGAATTCAATTAGCAAGCAAACCATCTTTTAAATCTAGATTTTTATAATATCAAAAGCCCCAAAAACAATACATAAAACGAGAAAGAGTCACCGGATTTAATGGAAGGTCGCCGGTGTTTGAGTTTCCATCTAGATCTAAAGCCAACGAGATCGAGCACAGTGGGTTAGACTAACTTGGTTTTGATTTCGATTTCATGATTTGTGGTGAGGTCGAAGCTGGAGCCTGGGCACCATTAATAGTAATTTGCAATATTCATTTTTCTCAGCCTGGCCTGCTACTCCGATTGACCCAACCCCTTAACTAGCCGACCACTTAACTGATAGTCATTATTTCCTTTCAATTATTTTAGCCTTCATTTTTTTCTTATTTTTAATTCAAGTCTCGTGCCAGTTCTGCTACTTTTTCACGGAATATCTGCACAATCTGCTGGAGTTCACCCGATATTCGGTATATTGTGCTGATTTTGGGAAGCTTGACCCCCATTATAGGGTGTGTTTGGTATGAATGAAAATATTTTCATGGAAAATCAATAGTTTTATCACTTATTTTCCCTTATTTGGTTGGTGAATAAAATTTTTTTTTAGGAATGGGGAATACTGAATAGGGTGGAAAGGTTGAGAAGGAGTTTTGGAAAATGTTTTCCCTTCTCTTGATAGGGAAAATATTTTCCTCCAATTGGAGGAAAATGAGTTGATGAGGAAAATGTTTTCTAAAATATTTAAGCCAACCAAACATGAGAAAATTAGAAAATATTTTTCGAAAAATGTTTTCCTTCGTACCAAACACGCCTATAGTGTCCAAGAATTTAATTTATAGAAGCTTGAACTCCAAAAATAATTACCTGGAATTGTAAGTCTCCGCACTTTTCTATGTTGGGGCATGCTTTTTTAAGTTGAGGCCATTTTTATCTAAATTTTGTTTTCGTGTTAAAAGGTAGCTAGTTTTCGACGATTTTTGAACATATGATTATTTTTCAATTACAGTATCTAAAACCGGCTATTTATGAATTTTACCCTTCTCCCTAGGAGATAATTTAGTAAAGCCCAGACTGTCTCTTGGACAGGGACATATGAACTTTGTAATCATCTCCGTTATATCTCTAGAAATGACACCAGGTAACCACTTCTACGTAAAAATAGCACGGTATAGCCAATTTTCGGACTGGTCATTCAAAATAGCCAGCGTTTACCAAGTCAATGAAAAATAGCCATTATTTTGCTGCAACAGAGACCGGTTCAGCATAATATACTGGAGTTCGATGCACATGTGTATGAACTCCAGCATATTATGCTGGACCGGTATACTTTGCTGGCTCCAGTATATTATGCTGGACCGGTATACTTTGCTGACTCCAGTATATACTTTGTTGCCTCCAGTATAATATACTGGAGACTGGAGCACCGGTGTATATTATGCTGGACCGTTATACTTGCTGGAACTCCAGTATATTATGCTGGAGTTCTAGTGTACTTATGCTGGAACTCCATCATATTATGCTGGAGTTCCAGCACACTTATCCTGGAACTCCAGTATAATATGCTGGAGTTCAAGTATACTTATGCTGGAACTCCAGCATAATATACTAACGTATTTTTCGGGTTTTGAATAGTATTTTCGCTCAGATTTATCTTTACATGAAAAGTGGCTAAATTTCGATTACTTTTGAAACTGCGCTATTTTTGAACGGCCAGTTGTAAATCTGGCTATTTTTGAATTTCTCCCCACTTCTACGCATACTATTTAAATATATCCACAATTTACAATGTATTTAAAGATTAATCAATTCGCTCTTGACAATACTAAGTCTTAAATTTTAAATTAGCAGTTCAAAAATTTAGAATACAAAATTAAGGATATTTAGTCCTAAAGTTTGGGTGAATTGACTAATCTTTAAATACGTTGTAAATTGTGAATATATTTAAATAGCAGACTTAAAAGTACTTAGAAGTGGCTACTAGTGCACTTCGCCCGTTATATTTTGTTTCTTTATCAAAAAAAAATCATCTTATGAACAAATACGAACCATTTTTTAATCTCTGCAAAAAGTCAAAAGAGACATTTCCTTTGAGTTGGAAGAACCAGTCTGTAGATAGAAATGGGGAGGAATCCTACATTAGTCAAATAATGAAAACATAATGATGCTAATCGAAGTTCTGATGAGTTAATAATGTATGAGATGCCGAGATAATTGGATAAAGTAATATATCAGGCCATTGGAACTAGTACTCAGCATACTATATTTGGCGAGGAAAACTGAAAGTAGGTTTCAATTTTTTTTATCTCAACTGTGTTAAAGTACTTATTTATTAATCACAACCAGAAGTGCGGAGGTAAATTAGGTGGTTAAAGATGTCAAACTACTAATGCAACAATTTGATATGTAAATACCAGTTACCACATTCATAATCGAGGCAATGCTGGAAGAGGAGAATACCCGATAAGAGGTAACTTTGATGTTTTATGTGGAACCATGAGGTTCAAAAGCCAGAATCATATATAGGAATAAATAGGGAGTAATTAATCCATGAATGATTAACAGCTTACACTACTAGATTCTGAAATCTGCAGGCTATTTGCAGAACAATGTGTCTCGTGTTGCATTACCAGTTACTGGATTCACCCTGCAGACGAATAATGTTTTGTGTATATGGTAAGTATGGAACTGGACCGAGATACTGTAAACATATAGACTTTGAAAGGAACCTTTACCCGTCAGCAATCTTGCAAAGGTATTCCCGTTGATCGTCTCTTAAAGGAACATCCGTGAAGTCTGAATATATACGAGGAAGATCAAGGAATCAGTATGAATAACCAATAAATAGTAATCCCATAGGATGTTTACAGCAAATTTAACAGTGCACACGATATCTTTGTCATTGTATTCCTTCAAAACGTTCTACAAATTAATTTTCATCTACACCAAGCATGCAAGCAAAGGTTCGGTACTGACCATTTTCATCAGCTCTACATTCAACTTTGTTATTCATTCCTTTTAAGAATATATAGAAAGTGAATAACCAACAAAAGGGTTCTGTATCCAAAATACACTATCAGACTATCAGTAACAGGGAGCATCCTGTATTAGCCGGAAAATAGACTCACCGCGTGGACCTATTCTATGATGACAAATGTCGTTGAAGTTATTACGACAAAGAAGAATCACGTGTACAGAAGAAGTATGCAATACCTCAGGGTGGTACACAAATTTACCGTACCTATTAGCCTCGGTGTCGAACACAAGAGCACAACCATGGATCTGAGAAATGTATTTCGCAAGTCCCAACGGGAGAAAGCATAACATTTGACAACGAGAATGCAGATGGCTTGTTCATACCACACAATGATGCATTGGTAATTTCCTTACTTGTTCATGACACTAATGTAAATCGAATTTTGATTGATCCAGGTAGCTCAATATAGACCATCCTGCTATGAGTGGTCGAAGCAATGCAAGTAGTGGATCGAATCATACCAAAGGCCCGATCTCTATCCTCATTCGACAATTCAAGTGTAATTACCAAAGTAGTGAAAATTGCGGATATTTTCACCAAGCCGCTGAAGATTGAGCTCTTTCAAAAGCTAAGGATGGCTCTTGGAGTGATGAAACAAGTTTAAGGGGGATGTTGAAATGTGAACAATATAAACTTGTTTCCATTTGTTTACATTAGTTCATGAACTAGAATATTAATCTAGTACATGTATTAGAGTATGAATACATTGATGTACTTTGGAAGATACAATGTCTAGTAGCGTCATCCATGTACCTTGAAAGATGTGAGGTATGGACTTAGCTATTATGTTTACATGTAGCGTAGGCTAGATACATGAAAGATTTCTCCTATAAATAGTCATGTATTCTTAGCCATTTGGAGCAAGTCAAGTTGAATAGAAATCATCATTTCCTCCGCTTTCTTCTTTGTGAGTGTTGAGTGTTCTTTTGTGTTATCTTGCTTTCTCAAATTTTCTAACACTTTCGCAACAAGAGCGGTAAAGGACACTAGTTTTCAAGTGGTGGAAGCCGACATGGTCTATAACATAATTTTAGAATTCATGAGATGGATGCGGACTTTGAACGTTGCATCAAGTTATTAAATTTTCATCACAATGGGGAAGTCAACAGATTAGGGGAGATCAACGAGCAACCAGAGAAACAAATTCGGTGGCTATTGCTAGCAGCTTAACCAATACTGACAAGGTAAAATAGCAATTACAGCACTAAGCTAAGGAGACAACTGAGCCCTCAGCAGCCACGATATCAGACACGAGAAGTGAAGTAGATATAGATAGGAGGATGGATGTGATCAAGAAACCAGAAGAGAATGACACAATTAAAATAACATCGGAGGAGCTCGAAGCTGTTATCTTATTCAATCACTGGCCTCGAGAGAAAAGTCTACATTGGAACAAATCTCAACCTGAAGATAAAACATAAGTTAATTGAATTTTTACGAGCTAACTCTGATTTCTTTGCTTGGTCGCATTCAGATATGACAGATATCCCACCGGAGGTTTAGGCAATCACAATTTTATTAGATTTAAATCCATAAGAAATCCTAGGTTTACCGGTAGTACTAGGACTATTTTTGTGTTATCTTATTCATGATTCTTTACTATTACATGTTGTGTCATTCGTGCACGTTACCTTAATGTATTGTTGTTACTATTGTTTGCTACTTGTTGCCTTATCTCCATTGTGCCTTGAGCCGAGGGTCTATCGGAAACAACCTCCCTATCTCTATAAGGTAGGGGTAAGGTCTGCGTACACATTAGCCTCCCCAGATCCCATTTATGAGAACATACTAGGTTCGTTGTTGTTGTAAATCCATAAGAAATTTGGATTTAATCTTAAATTAAATACATTTTGGATCTATATAAAAGTTATGGGGTAATATAATTGGATCAATTATATAAGTCCAATATATATGGATTAAATAAATAATTCTTAATCCATTGGGCTAGCTCATTTAGTTGGGCTACAGATGATGAGGACACTTCTTTAAGCCTAGAGGCGGACTCAGTATTTGAGTACAGTGGGGGCATCACTGTATGCTAATTACTAACGATAAAATTCGACGTGAAACTCTTTTAAAACTTAATGATTATGATGACTTATCATCCAAATATAAACAAAATAAAGTTCTAAAGAAAAAGAAAGCACCTAACAGAAAGATTTCTTCGCAAAATGGGTGCTATAAAAAGGGAAGGTATTTGATTAAGCATGTCTCACACTTTAAAATTTCTAGTTTTAATTAAAGAAGGGCTTAGTGATCAAAATGGCGTTCAAACTTTAAATTATCAAAAACTTACTAAAGAAATCAATATTAAGGGCATGTTAATAATCAATTTGAGGGTTTTAATTTTAAGGGAGGAATTTGAAAAAGAAAAATTAATTAAGTAGACTATTATGTGTTAGTGCTAAACTACAATTAAATTCCAAAAAAATATAAAAGTAAAAAATAAAGTAATTTGCTAAGTATAAATTACCTTGTATTCAAAGAATTAAAATATAAAATAGAAGAAAAGGTAAGAACTAAAATAGAGAGGAGGAGAAAAGCGGAAGTTCGTTTCGATCGCACGTCCATCAAGCTAAGCAGGGAACTTTAGCGCACAACACCACTTCTCCCGTACAACATTTTGTATTTGGGGGCACAAGCAAAATATTTAAGAGGTCCCATATATATATGTACGTATATATAACATATATATACGGGATTTTTGCCGAGGCTAGTGGGGTCCCGTGACCCCTTAACCCACAAGGTGGGTCCGCCTCTGGTTAAGCCCAAGATGCCATCTTCCCAGAGGCTCAGTTTGGTGCCACGTGTCAAAATGACAAGGAATGTCAAGTCACATTAAAAGGCCAATGAAACCGCGCCACATGTGCAAGTGACATGTTCTTGCCAATCAAATACGGCCTTGTCACTATTCAATCTGATTGGTCGGAAAGAGTTTGTTCTCATCACAACTCTTCCCTCCTACAACTATAAATAGGGATCTTCATAACTCAGAAAAGTAACCAGAAGTTATAACAAGCAGACACAAGGGAGCTCGTAGATCAAAGGCCACAATTCTCTGCAAATTGCAAGTGTTCAAGCATTGAAGCACTTCAACAAAAATCAAGTATTCAAGATCAAGAACGAAATCAAACCAAATACAAGGCGTTCAAGATCAAGATTACTTGTTCGTGATAAAATTTGTGGCAACAATCAAAGCGTTCGCGACGGATAAATCAAATTCAAATTCAAGATCAACCTCAAAGGCCCTTGAATTTATATTGGAAAAGTAGAATTAAAGGAATCATATAGATTATAACACTCAAATCACTTGAAATCAAATACTACGATTGTTGCAATATTTTTTGGTCTTGATTTTATTTTCTCGATGCAATTTATTGTCAACAGTAATGACTCACAAAATTAATGAGAACCCATTACACCATCCGATAAAGCAAAAGAAGAGGAAACAAGGCGCCTTCAAGAATCAGGTGATAAAAGAAGTAGTAAGTAAGTTATTAAAAATCGGGTCTATATGCGAAGTTAAATATCCTGATTGGCTAGCAAATACTGTTGTCGTACCAAAAAAAGAATGGTAAATGGTTGTAAATTATACTGATTTGAACAAAGTATGTACTAAAGATTCCTTTTCTTTGCCATATATTGATCAATTAATTGACTCTACTGTCGGTTTGAGTTTTTTTAGATGCTTATTCTGGATATAATCAAATTAAAATGTATCTCGAAGACGAGGAAAAAACTTCCTTCATTCGGACAGGGGGTCTTACTATTAAAAACGCTGGAGTTGCATATCAAAGATTGGTAACCAAAATGTTCCAAGAACATTTAAGGAAAACTATGGAGGTATACATTGATGACATGCTGGTAAAATCAACACAAGCAGAATATCATCTCGAGCATTAGAAAGAAGCATTTGCAATTCTTCGACGATACAACATGAAGTTGAACCTAGAGAAATGTGTATTTGGTGTCGCATCAGGTAAAGTTCTAGGTTTTCTTGTTTCTAATAGGGGTTCGAAGTAAATCCAGCTCAAATCAAAGTTTTTGAAGAAATTCGGGATGTAGTTACAAGCAAAAAAGAAGTACAAAGTCTAACATGAAGAATAACAGCTTTGGGAAGATTTATATCTAGTCCTCTAAGAGATACTTTAGGTTTTTCTTATTGCTGAAAAAGCAAAACAAGTTTGGGGGACAGATGAATGTCAACAAGCATTGAAGGATTTAAAAGTTTATCTATCAAAACCACCTTCGCTCTCAAAGCCGAAAGAGGGGGAAAAGTTGCTTGTTTACCTTGCCGTATATGAAGTTTCAATGAGTGCAATTTTGGTTAGAAAAGAAAAAGACACGCAATTCCCTATCTATTATGTTAATAGAGCATTATTAGAAGTTGAGACAAGATATTTGCACCTAGAAAAATTAGCCTTGGCATTAATAATGGCATCAGGACAATTACGACCCTATTTTCAATGTCACCCAATCTATGTTATACCGACTTTTCCATTGCACAATATTTTACATAAGCATGAGTTATAAGGAAGATTAGCTAAATAGGCATAGAACTTAGCGAATATGATACTATTTATCAACCACGTACTTCCATAAAGTCACATGTACTAGCAGATTTTAGCTCGAACCTAATTCCCGAAGCTAAAAAAGAGTGTCACTTCCGGAGTCCAATCTGGGGACTTGGATCTTATACACGGATGGATCCTCTAACATAAAGGGAGCAGGTTTGTGTATTGTCTTACTTGCACCTACCGGAGAAATCTTAGATAAGCGATAAGATGTTACCTTATTACTAATAATAGAGCCGAGTATGAAGCAGTGGTTACAGGTTTGGAACTCGCAAGAGATATGGGAATCGAGCCGCTCGAAATTAAAAGTGACTTAGCTGGTGGTAAACCAAATGCAAAGGAATTATGTAGCGCAAGAGGCACGGATGCACGGTACCTAGAAAAGGTACGGGAGTGATTACATCATTTCTGAGAATGGAAAGCTATTCAAATTCCAAGGGAGGAAAATGCAGAAGCAGATACATTAACAAACCTTGGATCTGTAGAAGATATAACCAACTCTGAAAATGCAATAGTGGTGCATATATTCCATTCAACGCTCGATCAAACAAAAAGCAAGGAAATTTTACTAGTTTTACAAAGGATTGGCGAAATAAATTTGTAAATTACTTGCAGCATGGGATATTACGTGGGGATAAGAAACAATCTCCAAGGTTACGAACACAAGCTGCTCGCTATTGTTTAGTGGAAGGGAACTGATATCGAAAAATGTTTAGTGGTCCTTTGGCTAAATGTCTTGGTCTTGTCAAACTGAATGTGTTATGCGAGAAATGCACGAACAACGTCGTGGTAATCACGTAGGGGTTAAATCAATGATAAAAACACTGATCAGAGTCTAATATTATTGGACATGAACGGAGGAAGAGGCGGAAAGTTTTGTAGAAAGATGTGATAAGTGCCAACGATACGCGAATCAAGTACATCAACCAGCGGGGCCATTGCATTTTGTACTCGCTCCGTGGCCGTTTACGAAATGGAGGATGAATATCGTAGGTCCATTGGCGCAAGCGCTAGGAAAGGTAAGGTTCTTGTTGATTTTGACTGACTATTTTCTAATCGGGTGGACGCATGTGCCTTTAAACAAGTAGGAGAAAAAGAGGTCATAGACTTCATTTGGAGCAAAATAATTTACCGATTTGAAATACCTAAGGAAATCACGTGTGACAACGATCCACGGTTTGTAGGATAAAAAACAACTGAATTTTTTGAAAGTTGGAACATCAAGAGAATAACTCCATCACCATATCATTCCGGAGCCAGCGGACAAACGGAGTCGACAAACAAAATAATTATAAACACTTTGAAGAAGCGCTTGGAAGCAGCTAAAGGCAAATGGCCATAAGTGTTACCGAGAGTGTTATGAGCATATAAAATCACGACAAAAACAAGTACGGTAGAAACTCCTTTCTCACTTGTTTACGGTACTGAAGCTTTAATTCTAGTCCTAACCGAAGCTATTGTGGAGGGAAGATCGTCGACTATAATAGTGCGACGAGGAGAAGCAATAAGAGCGGTAGAAGCAGATGATTTAGAAGCCATGGAAGATATGAAGAAAGGAAGTTGAAGGCAAGAATGAAGAGCAAAGAAGGATTTTAAGAAAAAGACAAAGACGAAAGAAAGTAGATGGAAGATTATGAGGGTTTGCGGTTCCGTATTTATATGGGAAAGATATGTCATCATAAACCGTCATCATAGGACTGTCATATCAAATTGACAGAGCCGTATGTGCCTAGAAAACCGCTGCAAACTTCAGAACCAATCGTAACAAGACACATGTCTCGAGCATTAAATGGAAGAAGCGCACGTCTCTTCACTTCTGCAACACATAATGATAATCTCGGGAAGAGGCGGCAAAACATTCCTACCATACATAAGCTCTCAACTACCCGAATATTCAGTTNTATTACGACAAATAAGAATGATGTGTAGAGAAGATGTGTGCAATACCCTAGGGGTCGTTCACTGCTACGAGTATGAAAAGAAACAATCATTCCCTGATTACACGGGATTTGTCATCACTACCTCAACCGCTACTAATCAATCACATAACAAACAATTAATGTGATAAATGACATTAACAGACAAGAGCTAAACAAGGCCAAAAGTTATGAAAGAAAGTACTATTTACACCACTTTTCCATATCTTGTATCATCATCGAGAAATACTCAATTACTTTCTCTCAATTATATTGCTCAAAAAGCTCTATTGTTAAAAATGCATCTTTGTGTTCATTCAGCAGAAGGGCTACATTCATCAATAAGATTTTTATTACTTTTCGTCTTTCAATTTGTACTATTTTTATATCTGTTCCTTTTTCTTATCGTTCATATTTGGAAAAGTGAATTAAATCGATTGTTAGTAACCAAAATATTTATTTAATTGCTTTGACCTTAAAATTCATTTTTAGGTTAAACACATCCGCATTGGCACGTCAAATAAAACAGCTGGCAGATTGGTTTTATTTGAAGAATATATTCTTCAACCATAGAAGACAAAGTTTACCTTTTTCTTTCTTTTGGGAAAGAATCAACTCAATGCTAAGGATAAGAATCAGCAACTTTCTTCAGCTTGCATGGCAGTGTTCAAATTCACGGTAAAAATTCATTGAATGGGTACTTAAAGTTCAGAAGATGAATAAGATACTGAGAAAATTTTCATGTTGAAGGTGGAACAGAGAGAAATCGCCACACCCAAACTGACACATTACTGTGCAGTTTTTTTTCCGCTATATCTTCTTAGCTAGTCCAATTCCGTAAATATTTCTCCAAACTTTGCCAAATACAGCAGCAGCTCTCCGATTTTAATAAACCAGTGTATTCTTCTACTCTTTCCTATTATGCATAATTTTTTGTGTTTTTTAGATTGTTGCCTGACTGCGTTCTTGTGCAATAACTACCACCCAGGGCATCTTGGTGTACTTCAGTATAGAAGAAAACCAAATGAATAGTCTTTTGCTGTTTCCTCTTACAATGGTTAAAAACTACTGGCTTAGACAACAACACGTGGTAATTGGTAAATCCAAACAACAAAAAAGATCAGCGAAGCACCCAATTCAATGTATGAAGGAACCAAGAAATCTCTAGTCATTTACTAAGTAATTACATGCATTATTCAAAAAATACACTTATCTTCTTTAAGCTACTCATTTAGGTTCCAAATATTATTCATTTTGACAAATTGATTTATTTCAAAAAATACAGCAGCAGCTCTCCGATTTTAATAAACCAGTGTATTCTTCTACTCTTTCCTATTATGCATAATTTTTTGTGTTTTTTAGATAGTTGCCTGACTGCGTTCTTGTGCAATAACTACCACCCAGGGCATCTTGGTGTACTTCAGTATAGAAGAAAACCAAATGAATAGTCTTGCTGTTTCCTCTTACCTGCCCCTTCTATATTGGACCCCTTGAAAGATGTATTGCCAGTTGTAAGTGCTCCTTCCAGGTTAGCATTGCTTAAATTCACCTGCACCATAGAGGTAGGTAGTCACAACAACAGCAGCAATTCCAGCAGTGCACAAACATGAACAAGGTTTATCTATTTTTTGAACTAGAGGATATGTCAATTCAGTTTCATTAGACACCAGGGCGGTTCATTTAGTTTCACTAAACTAGAGAGAGGTCTAATTCAGTGACGGAGGCGGAATTTTCACTAAGAGGAGACAAAAAATAAAAGAAGTAAACAGGCAAAGAAGTCAAGGGGATTCAACATCAAATATATACAAATAAAAAAAGATTGAACCATATATAAACAGTGTAATTTTTCAGCGAACGTTCCATCCCCTAGTTCCACCCCTGGTCTGATTAATCACCTAAGATTAACAGTAAATATTGACATATCTGATGTTAAGCACTGGGCTTTATCATATGAATTAAGAAAGCCAGTGGTCAGTAAGATTTATCTAACACACATGTAGGCTATGCATTCAACAATTCCATGATTGTGATTTTTCCACTAATCAGAGATAAGTCTTCATCAGAGATTACAATACAGAGATAAGCATGTCAGAATTCAGATTTGGAGCATAAAGTACAAAGTGCCAGATGCACTAATTGCAAAGAGACCCTCTCTTGACCAGGTTTTCCCATTGGCTTTGACTGACAAAACCTTTTATTTTATCTGGATTAGGTGGCAAAACTGTCTGTATCAATCCGGAAAGAAAGATTGAGGGGTCAGACAGGGCTACGACTTTCATTGAGTGTAGGATCAAGACTACAAATGGAACAGAATCTGTTGGTAGATCCACATTTTCGTCCACCTATATAAGAGATTTCTTTGTGCTGGGTTGTGAGCCACGTGGAGCGTTAAAGAATGAGATCCTTTGCCTTTGCCTTGGAAATTAGGAATGGTGAGAAAGGCTTACTGTTGGTTTGACACCCTCAAAGAAGATTGGGAACACCAGGCTGCAGTCAGTCAGGTCAGTCAAGGAGAGATTAGGTCAAGGGATTTAAGATAGAAGTTCCATCAATCAAAGGAAAAAGGATGCTCCGGGAAAGAAGGAAACAAAGATATCCAAAAAAATAGGCCTTGAAGGAAGGCATGAATGAGAGAGAACCGGTCTAAGGGCTGAAAAGATATGTTGCGTCACCTTCCTAAGCCCTTACTCCTTTTCCTTGTGTGATCCACAAAAATAGGACACTTCGGTGCCACTCTTGATTTTTTGACCGCACTTGCCCCATGGTTTAACAAGTTTTGACCATTGCTTGCCTTACGGGCAACACTTTTAAGTTTTGATCTTAAAGGTTTGCCCATGGGGCAAACCGTGGTCAAAAAATCAAGACCATCCATTTTCAAGGTCATTGGTAGGGATGGCAAGCGGTGAGGTGCGGTATGGTCTTTATAAACCCACAAAATTTCAACCCGCCCCGCACCGCATGGCATTTCCAACCGCATCCATCCGCCCCGCCCCACTTCAGTTCTTTTTATTTTTTGGTTAATTTTATTTCCTTTTAATTTTTTTGGCTAAAAGTTTTCATGTCAATTAAGAATTTACGTGGATGTAACTGCTTTGCTTAGTTTCTCCAATATATTGCATAGGATTAAAAGTACACAAAGTCTAAAAATAATAGTAAGGTTATTTAGAAATTAAATGCATTTAAAAAATATTTTGTAGTAAAATTATATAAAAGTAGTAAGTAAACATGAAACTAATTCCTATATAAAAACTTGAGTGGCTTCCGTACTCCATTATAGATTAGATTCAGCACATCATGTAATAAGGCACTGATAATCTGTGTAAATTTTTTGCTACGAATTACTTATTAAAAAAATTACGAATTAGGCTAATAAATTTAGGATTGTTTATTATGTTATCCAGAAAACCTTTCTAATGCAAACAAACATACTATGACAGGAACACTGAAACTTAATATCTCAAAAGTAGACCGAAGACATCACTAAAGGTTATAATTTTGTGAAATATTTAAGCTCTAACCCGCACCCGCACAAAATTTAAATTTGTTTATTTCAACCCGCCCAGCCCCGCACCGCCCCGCATATGTCTAAACCCACTCCACCCTGCCCAATGCCATCCCTAGTCATTGGGTGTAATTTCCTGCTTTTTTCCTTTTGCACGCCTTGTCGAAGTAGAAGATGTGCCAGTAGTTCAAAAGTACTTTCTTAAAATGACGAATCACTTCTCACTAACAGGGCATTCTGTGCAGTGCTAAGCCTGCCATTCCGGGAACCTAAAGTCTTCAACATAAAAATCATCCAAATCAAGTAGGACTAACAATCTATTAATTTCCCCGTCTACCTAAGTCTGCAAAGTGGCAAGCAGTTACAAGGACACCTATCCTAGGTCTGTGTTGATGCAGCTATTTTTCTCTCCACCAAAGCCAAAGGGACAACACTAACATATTGATCATGGAATCAATAAATGAGCCGCTCACCTTTGTCACATTTGCTAAGGAGAAGTCAGCCCCTCTAAGATCAGCATCTGAAAGATCAGCCCCTGGCCATATAAAGGGAATATTACATAATGGATAAACAATAACGTTAACATAACATTTTACTGAAATAACGATATTTAGGTGAAAAATCAAGAGCCTTAAGTTTCAGGAAGCACCAACACCAAGTCATGACCAGCCTTTTACGAGAAATTTGAACTTATATAACATCCTTCCTTTCATTTCATATAGCATCACTGTTTAAGACAGTGATTCATGCTGTTACAGAATATAAAGTGAATTATATAATCAGGAACATGGATGCACTGAATGAAGCCTGGATTTCATAATAAAGATTCAAATTAGTACAAGGATTACTTTCTTTATTTCCTATATGGTCCTGAAAAAAGTGTTGTTTAAAATAAGAAGATGAATGGGATGATGGTAATGATACATTTCACAATTGCATAGAAATTGCAGATTTTCTTTTTAAAAAGGATCATCCTCTAGAATTCTCGTTTAAGGAAAAGTTTCTGCAAGTCTTGCTCTGCTACCTCAATTTATATGTTTTTATGACTCTTTCTGCTTCTCCCTAAAGGGGATTCTTATATCCCCCCCCCCCCCCCCCC